GGACAGAGGCAGTGCTGTGCTGTACATATTTTATCCTGGAGGTGGGCTTCCTAATTTAGCTTTTGTCATTTGAAACTAGTAACTCTTCAGTAATTTGGAGTTACTGCTGTCTGAAAAGGGAGGAGGATTCATGTAAAACTCTTCTTGCATGTGAACATTATAGTAAGCAAATATTTTTAAAGATCTTTGGGTTTACATGTTGGCAATAATAATGTTTTGTTTGTTTTAGATGTAAACAATGTCTTGTCAAAGCAGCACTCGCTCAGCAAAAGACCGATATCTGTCTATCCTTACTATGTCTCGCTGGGAACAGCTCTATATAGAAAAGAAGGGCCACAAATAAAGAAACCAGATCCAGTTACAGTGCCGCTGGACCCCTATATCTGGCAGTTCTTACGGAGAAAAAATAGCCTCATCGAAGCGATATGTTCTGAGATGGCAAATTGTCATTGTGAGATAGAATGGCCTAAAGGCAACTGTGCGGAGCCAAAAGTTATTCTGCATCCTTCAGCTGCTTTGTCTGAGAGGAAGAGATCAGTGGCTCAGTTGATCAGGACATGGAATGCGGTGGCTTCCACAACATTTTCATACAGCATATCAAAGTATGAAATAGAGAAGCTTAAAGTAAGCGCAGAGGTGTGGGAATCATTAGAACCAGCATTAACCACGATGAACTTTTGATGATCTCACATCTTTCGAAGGATTTACTCGTTGTAATAGGCCACAAAGACATTCTGAAGAATGTTGTCCGAGAACTGAAATGCAGATAGAAAAAGTCACCAGAGAAATTGAAATAGAAAAGCAAACAACTGAAGAAATAGTGTTTCTGAGTCCAGGGGATTTTGCAATTTTGCAGAACATCGGTCTTGAAGAAAGGATTCGCGTAGAATTCCCAACTCTGCAGCTAACTTACGATTATTTGCAGAAGATAATTAACCTATATGGACTGCGTGAGGAAGTTTATAAAGTGAAAGGGGAGATATTGGTTAATATGCAAAAAATGGCAAAAAAAAAACATTACTCTCCACCCTTTTGTTTTCCAGTTTTTACAACGTATTGATAACGAAACCCTGTCACAGAGCCTGTTTTTGTCAAAACACATCAGTGCCTTTTATGAGCTTGGCCCAGATGCTGTCCTTCTGAAAGGAAATGATGACGAAACTCTCCTAAAAGCAGAAGAAGAGCTAAAGAAGGAACTGGACTACAAAAGCATTACTTTAGAAGATGAATCCATCCTCCAGAAGGAGGAATGGACAGCGCTCACTGAGGAGAACTGCTGTAATGCAGCCGTAACAGTCACTCAGAAAGAGGGTGAGATCATTGTTGCTGGCTTTTCTCAAGCAGTAGCGAAAGCCTTTGAAGAGCTTTTTAACTTTGTAGATGAGAACACGCAAGTACAAAAAGTCATCGGAGGGAAGCCCACCGTAGTCCTAATGTACATTGAGAAAGAGAGGGCCTCTGTCTTGGATGACTTGAAGAATAAAGGTGTGAAAATTGACTTCAGTAAAGTTATATCCTTGAGCGGACCGAGAAGAGAGGTGCTGAAAGGAACTACCCTGATTGAGCAAATGCTGTCCGGGCTGCATTACAAGCGTGTGGTAATTAATGAGCCAGGAGCCAGGTCGTATTTCAAAGAAAGAGAACGCTTTTTTGCTGCCAGTGTGAAACATGAGTGTAACTGTCTAATCAGACTGGAAGAGCAGCCAGAAGAGTATCTGGAAGAACAACAAGCACACACTAACGTAGGCAAGCGCTATACACAGATGACAGTGCAGGGAGTTCTAATAGAGGTTTATAAAGCCAACTTGTGCACTCATCACGTTGATGTTGTGGTGAACGCATCAAATGAAGACCTAAAACACATTGGTGGCCTCGCTTGGGCACTGCTCCAAGCAGCTGGTCCAGAGCTGCAGGCTGAGTGCGATGAGGTGGTGAGGAAGAACGGGCGTCTGCAGGCTGGGTGTGCAGTGATCACAGGAGCAGGGAAGCTCCCCTGCAAACAGGTCATCCATGCTGTTGGGCCCCGGTGGAAGGAGCAGGATGCAGGAAAGTGTATGCACTTGTTAAAAAAGACCATTAAAATGAGCCTGCAGCTGGCTGAAACGTATAATCATCGCTCTATAGCTTTCCCTTCTGTAAGCGGAGGGATTTTTGGCTTCCCGCTGCACAAGTGTGTAAATGCAATTGTGTCAGCCATCAAGAAAACCCTGGAAGAATTCAACGGGAAAAGCAACTTGAAGGAGATTCATCTTGTGGATATCATAGAGGATAACGTTCAGGCTTTCATCAAGGCACTGAAAGAAATGTTTTCAGATGATGTACCTCTTAACGACCCCAAGCAATCTCTTAACACTCAGACCAACATTGTTCATCAGCCTAGCAAAAGGTCAGCTTCTCAAAGTGGCATGAACTTTGCATTGGTAACAACTGAGGAAGGCCTTGACATCATGCTGAAAAAAGGAAGCATTGAAGATGTCACAGTAAGTGTTTTGAGTGGCTGTTTGTCCGGGCTGATGTGAAGCACATTTTTTTAAATATGAAAAGGGGAAAAATCGAAACAAAACTTTAAACAGAAAATACAGCAAACAGAATCCCTGTGTCCATCATCTGGATGACCTGATTGCAAGAATGCAGCCAAAATATGGTGCTTGTGCAGAGACTAAAGCAGGTGCCCAGTGCCACGTAATGAGTGTCCTGCCACAGGAGAGCAGCTTGGCTGCTCTCGGACCCACCGTGTCCCATAGCAGCACAGCTGATCCATGCCTGTACTGCTGAGTCCTCGGCCCAAAGCTGCCCAGCTCACCCTGTGCTGTAGGGTACTGACCTGGGGAATGGGGAATGCAGAATTTTAACTTTTTGTTCTGTCAGGTTGAAATTTATTCCTCTGTTAATGCAGCTTCTGTACTGCTTCAAGCAGGCTCATGGTGCCAGAACTAAGCATATGTCTTCTCTATTTTGTTCCAAAGCCTTGTTAACTCCAATTGCTGCCCTAGAACTTTACTTGCAAATCAGCAGATAGGCTCTACTTGATGAATTGATGCAAACCTTTAAAATCTTACTTAAAGCTGGAGTTCTTGCTTGTGTGTTTTTCAGACAGATGGTGTTGTCATCAGTGTTGGTGGAGATCTACAGCTTGACAAAGGACAACTTGCCAAAGCCTTGCTAAGCAAGGCAGGACCAAGGCTTCAGGCAGACCTACATGACGAAGGCCTGGGAAAATCACATGGTGAAGGATCTGTGTTCATAACAAAAGGTTACAGTCTGAGTTGCAGTTATGTGTTTCATGCTGTCGCACCTAGTTGGTCAGAGGGAAGTGAATCTGCAGTGAAGGTACAAGAGTTTTTATTTACTTAAACTCTTAATTTGAATGGGCTTTATAGAAAATTTAATGCAACTTCTTTGAAATGAGAGAGGCTATCCTGGGATATGAGTGAGTTTGGGCTATTTATTTAGCTGTGTTGCTCGCACCTTGTTGACTATCATGTTTTTCTGATGTGCATAATTCCATGCTAAGAGACAGTACTTTCCCTTTTAGCTAAATTGCACGTTCCAGAAAAACTAACTTTCAGTAATGGAAAAAATAATTGTGCTTTACAGATCTTGGGCCGGATCATCACAAAATGCCTGCAATCTGCTGAGGAACTATCTTTGAAGTCCATTACTTTCCCAGCGATTGGAACAGGGATCTTAGGTTTCCCAGGTTCTGTTGTTGCTAAATTGCTGTTTGACACGGTGTATGAGTTCAGTAATAAAAAGAAAACCAATTCTCTTCGGGAAGTTCACTTTCTGTTGCATCCAAAAGATGTAAATAATCTTCAGGTGAGTTACCATGCTTTTCTCTCTCAATTACATGCTATTCTGTTTGGACCTATCTCGTGGTATGTGGCCATGTGTTGTTCTCCGGAGAATCTGCAGGCTGCTTGTTGTCATATAAAGCATAGAGCAGTTTGCTGACAATAGCTTTTGCACGTAGCTTGTCCTGTACAGCCCTGCTTGCTTCCTGTCCTTTTCTATTCCTGGTAATAATGCAGATGAAAGTGTAATTACTCTTTCTATCTTATGAACTTGCTTGATTCTTCAATACGTAAGGCTCACCTGCAGACAGACCTGCTGCAACTTCTGCATAGATGTCTTCACTCTTGGGAAAGGAATACTTTCCATGGGTTTAGATCAAGTCTAAGAAGAATAATGATGTTAGGATTGCATGCTGGTAAAATTCTCCAGTGGAAAACAAATCAGTATTCTGCATCCCACTTTTTTTCAGTGTCACATTAGAACAGGTTTCTCTGCTTTTACTCAAGTTATTACAAGGGTTGACTGTAGTTTCCTTTTCTAGGCATTTTCAAATGAATTTGAGAGACGGTGTGGCAATGATGTAGATGAGGCTAGCGAAGGCACAGGTAAGTTTACTGTTATTATTATTAGCTTTTAAATTTTCCAGGTGGCGTATTCATGATAGATACTTAGATAAGTGATAAACGTGCTATTCCCAAAGTCCACGTGCATGTTGTAAAGGCAATATGTAGTATTTTCAGGATGAGCGTAACGTCTGAAACGGTGCTGGCGATGCTAAGGAAAAAACATTCTTGTGATTCATTATCTGGATGTAGTGTCCACACAGTAAGGATAGCAGAAGGCACAAGTGAGGTTCTTTTCTTTTCTTTTCCTGCTGCAGTCTTCCCTTTTCTTCTGGGAAGAACTAGTCAGTTCCTGGTTATGTGTCTTAACGGGGCCTCTTTGGAATGCTCTCAAAGCTACAGTCAGATCAACAGCGAAACCAACCTGAAATGTCTTCAGTGCTGTCCAGTCTAATGGGGCTGCAGAGTGTAGAAAATGAATATTTGTTGAAAACTCGATCAAGTTTTCAGAAATAATGCATAGACAAAAAGTTGCTGTCATGTGGTAGAGAACCTGCCCAAAAACTCCCTTTGAGACAGGAGCAAAGGAGTGAGATTTCTATAGAAGGAATGTGGTAAAACAAGTTTGATTTTTTCCTACTATTTCAGCGTAAATAGCGATGATGGGAGTAAGTGAATGTTGGTCTGAGACTCCCATGAGAAGGAATGATTTTCAGTTACTGATGTGGGCAGTGTTCTCACAGGTGGAGTCCAGAGATGAACTGTGGTCTCTGCAGGCACTGTACCCATGAATGCTCCTCTGCTCAGTGTCTATTTCTGTCCTGCAGCTTTCTTTGGTCCCATTTTAAACCCAGCACAGGATGTATATGAAATGACAATTGGCTCCATCAAGTTCCAGGTGGCCGCTGGTGATATTACCAAGGAAACTGGAGATGTCATTGTAAACATATCAAACAAATCTTTCAACCTCAAAACAGGTATTTCTGTTGGTATTATGTGTGGATATAGTGCATGTGGTTGGGATGACTAGACAAGGTGAGTGGGAAGCTTTCTTGCTATTCTGAGCTACTGGATAATGTGTTTTAAGACTTGCAGAAAAGGGAAATTAATAACTTGAGTTTTTCAATAGAATCTTTTCACAGAACATCTCGTAGATGAAGAAAGATGAACCTTATTGTGGTTTTTACCTCAGTGAAACTTTTTAGGTTTCTCAAGATGTCTTTTTTTTTACTTGAAAAGCATAAGCCTGAAATTTAAACAATACTATCTAATTATAACCTGTGCTTTTTCCAAAAATGAGAGAGAGTATGGAGTATCTGATTCTGCCTTAGGCAGGAATTAACAGTAGTAACTGTGGAATCATATTCTTCTTCTCATTTAAGGTGTCTCTAAAGCAATTTTGGAAGGTGCTGGGAAAGAGGTTGAAAATGAATGTGCTGAACTAGGTACGGTGCAACTTTTCTGTCCTTTCTGAAGGCTCGCCTGCATGACGGGGAGTTGGTTGGAATTCTTTCTCAGTGCCTGCTGTACACCTATCTGTCTTATGCACTGTGTTACATCACCTGCCTTTAATCAGTTAATGTGATATATGTAAAACATCTAGCAAGGAAGGGAAGAGGCATTTTCAACTCAAAAGAGAGCATCTAAACCTTTGTAAAGGACAAGATCTCCCTATGATTGCATCCTCTAATTCCAGTAAAGCTTTTAAGTGATGTAGACAAGTCCACAGAGAAGACAAGTGTGAGTTGGGAATGATGTTAGCGGGACTCTTAATAGAGAAGCTATGTTTCATTGGGAGTAACTCTGTGCCTGCAACTTCTTTTCTTATCCCTGAGTGAAAAAATGTTTGCCGTTGTCTTCAACAGCAACCCACTACTGTACCCTCTGCATGACTAAGTGGGAAAATCTTTGCATCTGGGTTCCTGCCTTAAAAGAGGCGTTTGTGGATGAAATTGAGCTAGTGAACAGCAAATACAATGAGTGGGATGTAAGGATGGAAAAGTACTTGGCTTAAAAGCCTGTTTGCAAGCTTCCCTTATTTTGATAACAGAACTGAGAAAGTCTGTGGTGTGGAGGTCAGCTCGCAAGACCAACAAAAGGAAAGAATTACATGGAGGAGATGAGCAGTCTCGTGTAAAGACTGACTGTAGTACTTAGTCTGCATGAAGTTTTCTACAGCTGCAGAGCAAACTTGGAAAAGGAAGGCACACAAAACTTTATTTGGCAAACAAGGCAAATAATTCATAATCATAAAATGAATCCCAGAAAGTAAAAATAAAGAGAAGGGGTATTTATCAGCATGGGGAAAGAGACTTGGAGCTCATCCTGGGATGTTCTTGTCATCGTTTCTTATCTCCTAATGACAATTACTACATATATATGTTGTAAAGAATTGTTGATTGTTTATTTACTCCTGCTTACGTTTCAGCCTTGAAGCCTAATGATGGCTATATAACCACCAAAGCAGGAAGCTTGCCATGCAAAAAAATAATCCATTTTGTTGCTCAAGATGATGTTAAAGTGCCAGTCTCCAAAGTGCTTCAGGAATGCGAATTACAGCAGTGCACCTCTGTTACCTTCCCAGCGATTGGAACAGGTTTGTCTCTTCTTTTTGAAGTGGTTCAGTACATGTAATTCTGCAGATCTCAGAGCTGAAACAATTAGCTTGTCCGGAAGGATAGTTCTTTAATAAGAATATATTCAGAAACTGCAAACTTCAAAACCGTCACTGGAAACTTATGAAGAGACTGGAAAACTTCATCTTTGCAGTTAGATAGTAGGTAATGAGTGCTCTAAAGCTACTCTTTCTTGATAACAGGGATTCAAATTTATTTATAATATATGCATACGTTTATGGAGAACCAGAAGTATTTGTTACTACAGCATGGTATGTGAAGCAACTCATTGGTTAAAACCAGGGAGCGAATTCTCTGTCGGTAAAGTCAGTAGATGATGGAATTCTGTCTAGCAGACACACAAGTGGGTGTGACATGGATGGAATGTGAGCACGTCAGAAATGTCAGGTTAGCCATTTTTGCTTCCATGTTTTTTCATTAGAGCAGCAAAATTCCTTACAGTAAGAGAACTCAGATTTAGAGTTTCAACATGAAGAAACCTCTTGTGTGAATAAAACTAGAGCTGTTCTAGGAGTAAAGAGTTCCCTGAGAGCCAGTCCTGTGGCTTGTCAGGTAGGTACCCAGGCCATATTATCAACATCATTACCTTATCAGTTGCTGTGTCAGCAAAAGTAAGCTTCGATTTCCAAATTGACAACCTGAAGTTAGTTGAGTCACTTGTGACCCATGTGACTACGGGAATGATCGTAACTATTCTGTTAAAGATGTCATAATCCTTTTCAAGGCTAACAATTTGTTACTTGTTCCAGGTCAGGCAGGCCGTTTTCCAGATACAGTAGCTGATGAGATGATGGATGCAATAACTGACTTTGCAAGGAGCAACTCTACTCCATCTGTGAAAACTATTAAAATTGTCATTTTTCAGTCACGTCTGCTGAACGTGTTCCATACAAGCATGAAAAAAAGAGAAAATCCTGGTAAAACAAAATCAAAATCATTTCTTTCCAGGATGGCATGTAAGTAGACATCACTTTTGAATAGGGGCAGTAAATCAATCCGTTTTATGTTATACATTCCCAGCTAGTGCTACTTACAGCATTTGTGTCTCTCGTTGTAGCATTCCTGATCCCTGAGAAGCATCCTCCAAAGGAAAAACGCAAAGCAGTTTTGGAAAATAAAGTTGATCGGGCTGTTGTTCAGATTTGCGGTGAAAACGAGAAACAAGTGGAAGAAGCAGAAACCTTGCTGAAAAGTACAATTCTGAAGGAACAGTTTCAAAGAGAAATCAAGGATGACTCCATCTTGGATTTTGATGAGGCAGAGAATGAGGAACTGCGTGACCTACAGAAGAGATTAAATATTGCTCTGTTCTTGGGAGACAACTTTATTTGAATTACAGGATTTAGCAAAGATGTCTGGTTTGCTTACTCAAGTATCCAAGATATGATCCACAGGGTTAAAACTGCTAAATATGAAGCGATCAAGGCAGAACTTTATCAAAACCTAATTGAGTGGAAATATTTGGAAAAAGATTCCTATGTGTCCTTTGACAGCATGACAAATATGTGCTTGGAAAGTGCTTTTATAAGAAAGCAGAAAGATGTTTCAGTCGTCATTAACAAGAAAAAGTACATGGTGAATATAGAAAGTAGATATGCTACAGATGAGGAAGGAAAACGTATAACACACGTACTGATAAATCTGCAGGTTAGTAAAAGCATCTTGATGAGTTGGGTTGATATTCACACACAAAGCTAGGTTGCATCTAGCTGAGTCAGAGTAAGAAATAGGAAGTATATGTAGAATATTGTGAGATACTTTTTGTCCATTTCTGGAGAAGGTGTTAGAGTGGGAAATTTGAAACTGTTGGAAATATAGATAACACATTCAGAGGTTCTTAACAGGCTTACTAGCAATGATTAGACATGCCTGTAGCACTTGTCCTTCTGAATCATTTGTATTCTCAAGACGGGCCCTCTTCTATTTATTTCAGTGATTTCCATCACAAAGAGCTATTTTTCTCCTGTCCTTACAGGACTCTTCCTGGTGGATTACTTTTCTTCACCCTGCTGTCATCCAGTTTTACAGGGGCTCATGTTATATCTTAACGGGATCAATTATTTTCCATTTAACACTTGGAAAAAGAAGTCAAGTGCCTCACATATTCTGTCAGATGTTTGTTTATTTTTGCTTTATTACCGAAAAAGATGTTGCTTTTGAGAAGATGATACCCTCTTGATTTGATGGAACCTAACATGCTAGATGTGCTCAGTGAATGGGTCACTCGTTGTTAGTGTTCAACAACAGAGCTGAATATGAAATAAGAGGAAGCTTTTCCTCTTTTTTTGCTTTTCATGCAAAGAGTACATTATTGGAGCTCCAAACCTCGTCTTCCTTCTTCAGATGCTTTGCTCCTAGTTGTTTAGAATTAAGTGCCTGTTCCTTCCCCAGTGTGGGCAGAAGACAAATAAAGACATTGCTCCTTCTTTTAATGGTGAAGGAGAACAGATTTGTCTAGGAGCTGCCCCTTTCCAAGACATCAGTTGTCAGTGTGATGACATCATAAAAGAAAGCATCTTACTCTTCTGGGTTTTGTTTGGATCGTTGCTTGGTTTTGTTTCTTTGTTTTTAAAAGACAGACTCTTGGCTGACAGTAAGTAAACAGGCAATAATGATAAGCTATAATAAGTATAGGCTTTTCAGAGGAGTTTGTAGCGGGGCATATTTCACTTTAAGCAGTGGATTTGGGTAAATGATTGGTTTGCTTCTTCTGCAGATCAGGAATCAACAGCACTCCCTGAAAAATGGGACGATATGCAAAATCAGCAGCTCAAAATAGTGAAATTGAAACCAGATACAAAAGACTACAACGAAGTGAAGGAAAGGTTTCTGAAGACCACTCCGTCACTAAATCTAAAAATTGAAAAGGTAAAAGCATGTAATCATTTCTAAGCATAAATACAGCTAATGAGTAATGATAGTAAACAGTGGAAAAAAATAAATTCAGTTGGAATTTGTTGGACAAGTCTTTACAGCAAAAGAAAGGGACACAGTTTTTATCTGCTTTCCTAATTGACTTAAACTGTGTGTGTGTGTGTGTGTGTGTGTGTGTGTGTGTGTATTTAAGCAACTATCTGAGAAGATTGAACAAAACCATCAATAACCACACAGTTGTTCAGTGCCTGTGATCCTTATGACCTTCAAACCTGGTGTAAAATATCTCTGCTCCCAATAGGAAACTACTTATGAAATCAAGTCTTATGATGCTGAGAAAATGCAGAATATGTCTATTTTCGTTAAAGTGCCTATATGTATTGTCTCTGTTCATGTAGCTACTACACATTCTTCTCTTCTGCTTATTCATAGAATGGCTTGGGTTACAAAAGGCATGTAAGACCATTTAGTTCCAACCCCTCTGCAATGGGAAGGGCCACAGAATCAGATACTGAATCAGATAGCAAAACATAGCAAGCAGAGAGGATTCACTATCCAGAAACAAATGTAGAGCAACTTGCCAGTGAAGGTTGTGAAGCTAGTGAAGACTACTGATATCTTCGTGAATATTTGTTGTTTCAGCATTATGTACTGCTCACTTCTGGCAGTGTAGAAGCGTATAAAAGATTGCTTGCTAACATGTCACTCCTCAATGGGGTAGCTCTGATTTGAGCTGGTTTGGTTACATGAACCCAGTTTTGATGTCATCTAGTTCCCTAGTAAATTTTTCAGGCTCAAGCTGTGAGTTTGAAGCATTGTCTTCTTCTGGAGTGATAGGGGACTCAGTACATCTGTGTGTAAGCATCTCTTCTGCAGAGCAGCCCACTGCTCAACAGTCAAGTTGCATGAGAATTTATTTAGGATGTTGCCCCAAAGAGCAGGGGATTAGTGACAGCACTGTCATCTGATTAACTGATTTAAAGGAGCATTGGTTTAATGTTGCAGTTGAGGTATTTGGTACAAGTCTTCAGCAGTTGCTTCTGATGCCCCTGGTGAGCGTGCTCTTTTCTTCAGTGGAGCAGAATATTTTCTCCCTTAAGCCACGTGTGCTCAGCAGGTGGTTGATTTGTGTATGACCCAGAAGCCTGCAAGACTATCTCATGTTGTTTCCTATGGATTGTTTCTGTTGCATTCTGGGTTGGATTCTGCTGCTTGCCACGCTGAAGTCTGGAGCCACATGCCCATCATATTTTATAATCTAGTATCCATGTGTTGTAGCTGGGAGGAGAATCTTGGAGCAATGAGTGGTTGATACACTGATGTTTTTCATAACAAGAAGAAATGAATGTCTTCTCAAACTTTGCAGATCGAAAGAGTACAGAACCCATCTTTGTGGAAAGTCTACCAAATAAAAAAGTGTCAAATGGATGCCAAAAATGGCAACAACAATAATGAGAAGTTTCTGTTCCATGGGACAAGTGCAGAATCATTAACTTTCATTAACAACTATGGATTTAACCGCAGCTATGCTGGAACGCACGGTAGTGTGAATTTCAGAACTACTTGTTTTCCTGGATGGGGCTAGGAATCATTTGCTACACTACCTGTGTAGTGCTGACATGTATGCAAAACTGTTTAACTTGCTAAATCTCTCTGTTGCAAATAAAAACCAAAATTGCCACCTCTAGAGCTTGTGAATATCTGGAGAGCAGTTGCTATTAATTAATTTTTTTGTTTGTTTTTGGTCTACAGCTGCACAGTATGGAAATGGAACTTACTTTGCTGTTAATGCCAGCTATTCTGCTAATGACACCTACTCAAAACCAGATGCCAATGGGAAGAAGCACATGTACCTGGCTCGAGTCCTTGTTGGACAGTATTCCCAGGGGACACAAGGAGCAATTACTCCAGCAGTAAAGAGTGTTGGCAACAGTGTGGATCTGTTTGAGAGTTCAACTGATAATGTGAACAATCCATCCATGTTTATTGTATTTAATGATATTCAAGCTTACCCGGAGTACCTTATCACTTTCACTAGATGAGCATTTTGATTGCAGCCATGATTGCATGTCTCTTAGCTTTTATGTTATAAATCAGTCCTACAGATCAACCAAATATGCAGTGAGAACTATTTATAGTTTTTTCAAATTAATTTCTAAAGGCCTGTTTATGTTCAAGCAGCCTCTGGTTCTTTTTGATGTCCTGAGCATAGACTAATGTTTTTCCTCTCAGAGTAATAGCTGAATGCATTTAAGACAAGTTTAATCTGGCATGTAGTCTAACAGCAGTTTCCAGTAGACGTCCCACGCCTCTCCTATCGTGATCCTCCATGCTGTGTTCTGGCCATCCTAGCTGCAGCAGTGCTGGTGGGGGAGAGTGAGAGACAGAGTGCTTGGTCTCACGTTTCTGAAAGAGTGAGGAGCTGTCATCAATTATGATGCAGACTGTCATTCACAGTTCTCAATAAATGAACTATCTGTACTTAATGGCGTGTGTTTATCTGACATGATCTCTGGACATTTAGCATTTGTTTTGAATGGGTCAGTTATTGAGTGCTTGGAGACTGACATCTCTAATGTGGATTTACTTGCTTTTAATACAGTAGCCCTCCCAGGCAGGTCAGTAAGAAGTTCTGTCACTGTGAGCTAACTTGCTACCAGCAATTAATGGCTGAGATACCTAGGTATAGCCTAAGAGAGCCAGGAAAGTGGAAGTTGGGAAGATGCTTCTGTTATGCACCAGCTGTAGTGTAATGTCCTTCCTCTGATCTTAAGCAGGAAAGAACAGGGCAAAGGTGGGTTTTTTTTGTGAGTTTTGTTTGTGGGGTGGGGTGAGTGGGTCTTTTTTAAGGCCATTTTTTATTTTTCTAATGCTGATTAATTCTTCCTATATTGTTATGTTGGCCCACGATATCAGAGGTGGATGTTGGTAGTATGGCAGTAGAGGCTGAACCTTCCATCAGTTTTCTATTACACTTTGCTGCTGTGTGACAGATGACAGCAGAGGAGCAGTCTGACATGGAAGTGTGGAATTTAATTCCTCCACGTGGTGAAAATGCACTGCTAATGGTAGTGGCTAAGTTGAACAAGTCATTTGTAGCTGAAAACTTGCTCTATCTAATAGTGTTCATTGGCTCTTTGCATCTGTGGTAGTTTCCTTGGAAATAAATAGCTATTACTTTTGGAGCAACTTACATACCAGCTTGCTACTAGTTGATTGTATTACACTAATGTTGTTTTCATGTATCCCGTGCAATCCTTTTAAAATGAAACTTCATCAAAGATTCTGAAAGCCAATAGCTTTTTTCCACACTCTGTTTATTATGCAGAGAGAAAACTAAGCAAAAACCCAGCTGGAACTTAATCTGCCCACCATCCTGCCTCAAATTTCAACTGACACATCTTCTCACAGGGCACAGTAATTTTGACATGCTGCAAGCAAGCTAGACAAATATTTTGGAGACAGGGGTGTTCAAGCATTTCCCTTTGGGTCTCTTCTAAAGTTCTTGCTAATACCTAACCTGTAAGCTTCAGAACTGGTTTGTCTTACTGTGCTTGTTAGCAGAATGTATCTGACTTTCTGGGGGCATAAAGTGGATGCCTTTCACGACTAGTCAGATTTTTGTGAACCGGAAACATGGGCAATTGCAATGGTGTACGGGCTTCTTTATTTTTGAACTCTACGTTCAAGTTACTCTTGTAACTTCTCTCAACACCATTAGACAGCAAGCGGTTATTTCTTTCCTTGTCAAAATGGGAAGACTACACCCTTCTGCACAACACCCTCTTGGAAGAGGCAATATTGTTTTGTTCAGGAAATAAGAAAAAATTAGAAGTGCCTGTGCAGCTGCTTGTTCCTATTTAAATTTAATAACGGAGAGGGCCGAAGAGAGTGAGTCTGAGATGGTGCTGCGCAGGGAAAAGCATTCTGCTACATTACAGGTGTGCTTTCAATTAACTTTTATCTGAATGATTGTAATTAGAGATTTTACCACAGATGTTCCTGGAATAATTACTTTCCACTTCCTTGCGCAGTGCACGTTTTTAGGAAATGGGCATGGAGACTATTTCTCCCTTCAAATACTTTCTCAATTATATTAAAATTTCTTGCTCTTTAATGGTTTTAATATCGAGATTTTCTTAATGCTTTTCTTTTTCAGACTCCTACTCGATTTTCCAGGACCTCAGAAAAGGCATTTAACAAAATATGAGTTGTGTTTTATTATGCTTGCATCTAGGGAAACCAGTTTCTGCAGTGTTCTAAATTTATCTTTGGAGTTGAGAATTAATTGCTTGTTTTGTTTCTGGTGCTCAACACTGGTTCTACTTTCCTTCAGTTTTGTTCTGAGTTTATGAAGATAGATATCTGATCTGTTATTGCACTTGTATACAGATCTGAGCTGATGATCTTGTTGCACATCAACTGTTATGATGTGTATTGGATATGAAAGACTGAGCAGCTATCCTGATTTACATGAAGATTAATTGTGCCTCTCCGTGCATTAACTAGCATTTCCTTGGTGTCCTGTTGACATTTTTGCCAATAACATAACATTGTGAAGTGGCAATTAGAAAACACAGGCAAAGAGAAGCAGGCTCCTCCTTCGCTTGGGATTCTAAGATACATGGGATCATGTTATTCCTTTGAGTTTTAATAAAAAGCTGAACTACAAATTTTGAACAGAACAACAGGTCTGAAGATAAGATTCAGTGAAGGGAGAAGAGCAATGCATGAAGCAGAAAGACCGAAGACAAAGGGTCCTGCCCTCTCTCACATTAGATCCTGCCAGATCCACAGCAGGTTTTAGAATGTAAGATGATGGGCTGAAATTTTTCTTAAATATATGTCATAGCCTGGGATAAAAAATAATAATACCCAAGAATGGACAGTGTCATTCATCTTTCTCATACGTTTATCTATCATAATGTGATCTTTATACCGTAATGGTATTCAGTCAAAACTAGTTATGGGAAACCAAGAGGCTTCTGCAAATAGCACCTCCTAGATCAAAGCAACAGTATCAAATAGCATATGTGTTGGTTTCAGTTTAACAGACAGAAGCTAAGGCACTAACAGCATATCTGCAGAGAAACTGGTGTTCTCTCTGCCTATGAAATCATTATGGGAGAGAACTTCCCATTCTCTTCCATCAGAGTACATCAGGGCAGGAATGGCCAGATGGGGATAGGGGGAACTGGGTTCACCTGCATATGCTGGAAGATCAGAGATACAGGCCTTCTGGACACAAGTTCTCCATTAATGCTCACTCAATTTAAGTGTACAAGAACAGTTGGAAAGGACACTGTGGGAATTATACAGAGTAAATCTAATGTCATTGAATGCCTCCACTACAGCCTTCTCCAACAAGTCCCAAACCACTTAGCCTACATATGACCACTTATGACAATTCAGATGCTCTGATGGCAAAATTAAAATAAATCTAATATCAACAGATGCTAGAAATCCAAATACTGTTCAGTAAGTTACCTTATACCTTCTAGTTTTGTCTCTTTCTTGTAAGGAAATTGGCAAAGGATTGAGGGAAAAAAAACCCAAAAACTATTCCCATTCTGTCAGTATGTAGAGGTAAATAAGGAAAAGGAACACTGCTCCCTAAGTTTCCATTTGGGACCTCAAATTCTCCCTTATTTCATGAGACTAACACCTTACTACCACCAGGTTGAGCATCTTGCTGTAACGAGGGAAACAAAACAAAACAAAAAAAGACCTTTCTGAAATAATGTTTGAGATTTCTGTGTATCAGCTTTCAAAGGCAGGCAGAAACATTCGGTGTCTGTTTATTTAAACTTCCGTCCAAAATAAGGCCTTGTTACTGTTGGCTCTTATCACTGGCACGTTTCATTTTCCTAAGTGATCACTGAGGTAAGCAGGGATAAGACAGAAAATAGAAATTTTTCTGGTGATTAATTTTGTGGTCACAACAGGGGGGCTATTGAGATGGAAATCCCATTAAAAGTAAGCACTGCATCTCTATTTCAAGAATTTTGAAATTTTAGGCTTACACAGGCTTATACATTTGACACACGTTTTGGCAGTGTTACTTTCCATCTTGCTCTGAGTGCCATATGACAGCTGCAGTAAGGTTACCAAACAGGAAAGAGGTACAGAACTCCAGAGCAGACCTGCTGAATGGCTTGTCCTATCTGGTCCTCCCCATTCCCTGGGCATCTCCTTATTTCAATGAGGATATTTGCCATTTGGAGATAGGTATGAACAATTTGACCGGTTCTCTTATCTAAAATCCTTTTCGTGGCCACTCTTTCTTATGCTAAGAAAAGGGGAAGAGAGAGGAATGGAAGCTTAGAGTAAATGACAACATTTTCTCTTTCCACTGTCTGCTAAGCAGCCTGGTTCAAACGCAGTTCCTGACTTCTGCCAGCAGCTCGCGCCGTTTGTGTTCCTCGCACCCAGAAACACAAGACTTGCAACAGAAATCTCTCCGGAGCAGCACTAGGGCTGGTGTGGCAAACAAGAGGGACAGCACAAAGGCTGTAAAGGAGAAGCATCCCTACTTCTGATCCGGGTCATGTGTAAGAGCAAAATGCAAAGGGAAGGCAGGAGATGTACAATGTAAGCAGCTCTGCTTCTAATGAGAATAATAGGGTACAAATCAAAAGAGTGTAGTAACAGGAGATTCACGCTAAGGCAAGATAAGTACATAAAAATAGTTCTCATTTACCATTTCCTTTGCTTCCTAAGGGCAACACATTCTCCATCTAACCAATACAAAAACACAGTCGGATATCCAACTTGTGATTAACCAGAGTAAAAATAATTTTATAAACATTCTGTTAGAAAAATCCTAACAGTTGCACAGTCAGGAGACTCTAATTAATTCAGTCAAAATGGAAAGCACCAAACTTGAATGCTGCCAGGAGACATAGAACGAGGCTCCAAAATATGTAACGCGAAAGTCATAATAAGAGAGGCTGACACACTGTAAACTTACAAACAAATTATCTCAACACATTTTTCTGGATCATGCTTCAGACCAAGTTTTGAGTCTCCAGAAAGATAAAATAAAGAAGAATTTTTGTAAGCATCATTGACTTTTTTTTTTCTTTTTTTTTTAAATACTCCATCCTCAGTAAGAAAGACAACATTGAAGAAACTTTATCCAATGTTTTCGCTGGCGCTTAAGAGCTGTTATTCAAAAGCTCGGCTGAGACTGCAGTCACTCTTTTGAACTCCTACCCACCTTATATAAGAAGCCCACAAAAATAAATAAATAAATAAATGAAAATCCCTGACTACTTCTCTGTTGTCCCAATTGCTCTGAACTTCTTTTATTTCATCTTTTAAAAGCAAATGATAAATGCAAAAGTTGTTCAGGTAACACAAGCATAGTCTTGCACTGCCTGTGTTCCCTTCTGTACTGTGTAACGTAAAGCTGACTCAAACACCTTTGCATTGCATTGGTTTTTCATTCATAGTATTTGCTAGCATCAGGCTAACAAAAGAATAC